CACCGGCTCCTTCGGCCAATAAATCGAGATGAGTGCCGCAACCCCAGAGTCGGTCACAACTGGACCTAATGGTCAGGGGTCCCTTTACCTTACTGCCAGCGCCAGCATCTCCCTGCCTGATGAGTCAAGGTGACTGAGAGTCAGAGAGGTTGAAAGCCACTGTCTGCTGTGTCTTGTTGCATAGGAATGCTCACAATGCAGGCTGGTCCATTTGAAGCACTGCCTCACCAACCTCAATCTACCCTCAGCCAACCTCCACCTGTCTGCATTTCTGCTTACAACCCATCTAGAGTCAGGGTCAGTTCCTTCTTCCTTTGTCTTGGTATTGCCCTTGTAGAACTCGACATTGAGGAGGGGCGGGGCCATAGCTCAGTGGTAGAGCAGCTGCTTTCCATTCAGGAGGTCCCAGGTTCAAGCACCAGCATTGGGTGGTCACCTGCCTTAAACCAGGCATAGGCAAACTCGGCCCTCCAGATGTTTTTGGGACTACAACTCCCATCATCCCTGACCACTGGTCCTGTTAGCTAGGGATGATGGGAGTTGTAGTCCCAAAACAGCTGGAGGGCCAAGTTTGCCTATGCCTGCTAAACACTAAAGAGTCAATCCATATAGACAATACTGAACTAGGTGGACCAAGCATCTGAACTGGAATCAGTCAGCATCCTGTAAGGAAGACAAAACTAGAATTAGTGGGCACTGCCTGTCATTGGCTCTGCCACTGCTGGCCTTTCCATTTTACCGGTCCCATCAAGCACTGGGAGAGGGGACGGCTCAAGGAAGGGTGGCTCAGTAGTTTCTGGTTCCCCAGGTGGCCAGACCAGACAAAGCCAGCACCTCAGAAGGAGAGCAAGGTGTGGGTTCAGCACCATGGAGAGCGCTTCTGCTCCTGAGTCCAGGCATTAAAGTTGTCTCAGTGAGGAGCAAATGGCTGAGTATTGTAGCAGGCCTAGGCTGTCAGGGACTCATGGCTCCATTCTCTGAGTGCTGCCTCCCGGCCAGCTTTTTGGCAGCTGCTGGCTCCTTCGAGTTAATGAGGTTTCTAGGTGTGGCTCTTTCTCTCTCCTCAAGGCCCTCTTGAGTCTCTGAGGAGTCTGTGGACCAGCCATCTGAGTCTGACAGCTGAAGTGACTCAGGGTTCGGAGGAGGGGTGGGGGACACAGACCCACAGGGGATGAATCAGGGTGCAGTGCGATCTTTTCCGAGCTACAGCTGCCTCTGAAGGTCTTGGATACACACACACACACACACACACACACAGTGGTGCCTCGCAAGACGAAATTAATTCGTTCCGCGAGTTTTTCGTCTTGCGATTTTTTCGTCTTGCGAAGCACGGTTTCGGAAAAGTTTTGGAAAAGCTTCAAAAATACCAAAGTCTTCAAAAACCTCAAAATAGGCTACCACACCGCGTGCTATGAGTTGCTCCTCAAAGTCAAGTCACAACTGTATTAACGGTTTTAAGAAAAAGGAAACAAACTTGCAAGACGTTTTCGTCTTGCGAAGCAAGCCCATAGGGAAATACGTCTTGCGAAGCAACTCAAAAAACCAAAAACCCTTTCGTCTTGCGATTTTTTCGTCTTGCGACGCATTCGTCTTGTGAGGTACCACTGTATATATATATATATATCCATCATCAACAAACACACAAACAAACTTGCAGATCCACCAACTGAAGTGTGTCCTCTTCAGCACTTTATAATTGGTTGCCACTGATAAAGCAATTTGAGGTTCGGTTGTTTAATCTATTGGTTAACTCAAAGGTTGCCAAGCTTTTTGGAGCAGTGGGCACATTTTGAATTTTGGGAGTTACAAAATAGCAGCTATGGGTGGGGTGTGTGGCATAACACAAAATGAAAGAGATAGCCACCCAGACCACATTATACTTGCCATGGGAAGTCAGCTATGTCCTGGTGATTCTGACTGTGGAGATGGCACAATATTGCTTACACACACACACACACACACACACACACACTTATGCTGTTGCTGTCTAATAGCAACAGAGAGCATTCCTCAGTACAGTCAAACCTCGGTTGTCAAACGTAATCCATTCTGGAAGCCTGTTCGGCTTCCAAAATGTTCGACAACCAAGGGGCAGCTTCTGATTGGCTGCAGGAGCTTCTGATTGGCTCAGGTGGAAGCCGCGTCGGATGTTTGGCTTCCAAAAAACGTTCAAAAACCAGAACACTTCCAGGTTTTCGGCATTCGGGAGCCAAAACATTCCAAAATGGAGGTGTTTGTAAACCTAGGTTTGACTGTACTAGGGAAAACCCGCACTCACTCTCCATTTCACATAAATCGCTTAGAAGGCACTTATACATTTTGGCCCATAACCATTTTTCTTGGAGGGCTAGAGACTTACATTTTAAAATAAAATAAAATGAAAACTCGAGTCTGAAAGCCTTCATGGATTGGCAACCCCTGGCTTAACTTGATTAACTGCCTATATTTGTTTATCTTTTGCAACAAAGTAATCTTTTCTTATAATTAGGATTCAAGGAGCAAGTTGATTCAGTTTGCATTCAAAGGCAAACTTACCAAACCTACACTTTTCGAAACCATATGCAAAATGAAACAAAGCCATCCTTTGAAATTCACTTCTCAGAATTTTGTAGTGCAGATCTCCAGAAAAGCAATGTGTCCAAAAATACACATACTGGTGTAAAATGTGAGTAAAAATGCATGCATCGTTGAAAATAGCATTAAAAATGCATTTCATTAAGGGGAAATTGTGTTGCAAAAAAAATGTGTATATGAGGCAAAATTGCATACAAACGTCTGTATATTTGGAGAAATTAGCTCTGAAATGCAGATTTTCATTAGGATTATTTTTCCTTTAAAATTCTCAGACTGAGGCAGAAATGGGGAGAACTGAATTTAAGATTGGAAACATCAGAAACAAAGAGAACCTTAAATTGACAGATTCTCCAAATCCTACCTGTGAGTAGGCTGAATTCAAGAAGCTTCCCTCATAATCAGATGCCATAAGATTGGACAAAGAAAGGAAAACAGCATGGATGATCCTCCAGATTCTATTGGGTCCCTCCAGGCTCCATATTCTAGCACCTGAGAGAATGGCAGTCTTCAAATAAAAATGGGAAAGTTTCTCTCTTTTTGGCATAGCTTCACTTGGAGAGACTTTTCATATCTTGAGCTAAACTCTTTTATCTGTCTGCCTTGGGATTCTTCCTTTGATGTGGAGGCAGAAACCAGGGCGGCCCTTCTCTTTGTGCATCAGTTAAGCCTCTCACTTCCATGTGTGAAATACCTGTGGGTTAGCTATTATGATTGCTAGGGAGTGTGGGGTTATGTAAAAGAAATAAGCAAACAGATCACTGCTTGGAAGATTGGAAGGAGAAGCAGCTATTAAATTACAGAGGTTAGAGGTGCATTGGTCTGCTGCAGCAGAAGCAACGAAAGCTTGAATAATTTTATTAAACTCTTTCCACAAGAGTGCTGAGAGTGGCTAAGAGGCCTCTATTCCCCTCACAGAGCTACAGTTCCCAGAGTCTCCTGGCAAGAGGGGTTGACTGTCAAAACCACTCTAGGGTAAGGTAAAGGTAAAGGACCCCTGGACGGTTGAGTCCAGTCAAAGGTGACTATGGGGAGCGGCGCTCATCCCGCTTCAGGCCAAGGGAGCCGGTGTTTGTCCGCAAACAGCTTTCTGGGTCATGTGGCCAGCAGGACTAAACCGCTTCTGGCAAAACGTGACACCATGATGGAAGTCAGAGCACACAGAAACGCCGTTTACCTTCCTGCCACAGAGGTACCTCTTTATCTACTCACACTGGTGTGCTTTCGAACTGCTAGGTTGGCAGGAGCTGGGACAGAGCAATGGGAGCTCACTCCGTCGTGGGGATTCGAACCGCCAACCTTCCGATCGGCAAGCCCAAGAGGCTCAGTGGTTTAGACCACAGTGCAACCCGTGTCCCTCACCACTAGGAACTGCAGCTCCAGGAGGAAAATCCAAGATCTCCTAACAACTCTCAGCAGCTTTAATGAACTATAGTTCCCAGGATTCTTTGGGGGAAGCCATGACTGTTGAAGTGGTACAACAGGACTTTAAATGTATGGTGCAGATGGAGACTGAGAGAAGACATAAATCTAAGATTCCCATATCCAAACCAAACACTGCAGTCCAGCCTTGGTATCTTGGGCTCAGGGAATCTCTGGATCACAGTGTTTTTGAACTACAACGCCCATCATCCCTTGCTTGCAGGACCAGTGCTCGGGGATGATGGGAGCTGTAGTCCAAAAACAGCTGGAGACCCAAGTTTGGGAAACCCTGCCAGGGATCAATAGTGATGCTCAGGCCCAGAAACATCTCTGTTGTCACCACTGGCCTTCAAGTCTTTGACTGAGTTACTGCTCTTTTCTGGGATCATGATTCTACCACACTGTCATCTAGGCAACTTCTAGAATTCTTGATCTCAAAAGTTGGCGATGCCCACTAAGCTTATATGGTGAGTGAGATATCTATCTATCATCTATCTATCTATCTATCTATCTATCTATCTATCTATCTATCTATCATCTATCTATCTATCTATCATCTATCTATCTATCTATCATCTCTCTCTCTCTCTCTCTCTCTCTCTCTCTCTCTCTCTCTCTCTATCATCTATCTATCTATCTATCTATCTATCTATCTATCTATCTATCTATCATCTATCTATCTAATCTGTCTATCTATCATCTATTATGCAACATTTTGGTGGCGATACCCATCAATGGCCTATTGGCTAGTCTAGCTCAATAGACCTTCCATGTCATGAGGCACTATGCCTTTATGTAGCAAACACTGCCCCAGTTGTGAGCTTTTGGGGAACATCTGGCTGGCTGGTGTTGGCAGCCAAATATTGTGATTAGGGTGACCTTTGGCCTTCTCCAGCTGGTGCCGTGCAACCTCTTAGGTTTGAAAGCTAACAGCATCAGATATCCAGAGTGCTAATTCTAGAAACCGATTCCTCAGGGGAGTTTTGCCTGGATGCACTCAGAAGAAAATTATTGTATATTTTTTTATTAACACATAGAAAATTCTGAAGAAAATACAAAATGGTATTACTTTAAGGGGAACAGTGAAAAAACAAACCTCAAGAATTGGGCATTACAACTTTCATTTACGACAAAGGCTTCTTTCATTTTTTTTATAAAAACAAAAACAAAACCCCAAATCTTATTAAGATTAAGCAAGCACATTTATACAGCAATGACAACAAAACAGAGCTTGAAATAAATGGAAATATTGGTAATGGGCGTCAACCCTGCGCCCGGTTATACTGACTTCAGTAGGGTGACACAACCTAGCCGCATCAAGGCTGAAGCCTGTTGGTTTTGACCACCTTGTAGTGACCAAGGGTGGTGTTCAACTATGTCCTACTCGGAACAGATCCATTAAAATTACTGAACCTATGTTAGTCATGCCCATTAACCCCAATGGGTCTACACTGAGTAGGACTAGCATTGCATACCACCCCAGGCTCCCCGCAGTCCACTTTCTATCCAAACAAGTATTCCAACATGAAAAGTAAATGACACAGTTCAGTTGCAAAAACGAAAAAAAGTAGTCTTATTTCTGCTGCAAAATAGCATCGGACACAAATGTTTTCTGGGCAATAGTTTCATTATTGTATCCATCTAGCGGAAAACATGGCATAGCACTAAAAAAAAATGCACTCATTTCCATTTGCTCTCTCTACCTTTCCGTCAAACTGCTCATGATACGTTTATAGCTGTGGATGTGGCAGCGCTAAGCACTTCTCTCTCTCTCCCTCTCCCTCTCTCTCTCTCTCTCTCTCTCTCTCTCTCTCTCACACACACACACACACACACACACACCAGGTGCTAATCCTGAACCTCCTAGGCTATAAGAGCTAGCAAAAATTGGGCACATTCAGTTTCCTGGATCACCCACTAAGCTGAATGCAGCCCACCAGCTTTGCCAGGTGTTTATAGGCCAGTATTGGCATTAACACCTGGGATCATCAGGCAGCTGCCAGTGACAAATGTCAGCAGGGCCCACGCTGTGGGTGCTTGACCCACCTGCTCACCTGGCACCAGTCGTGTCACTCTCAGGCTTTGTGGGAAATCAAAACTGTGCCTTTCCAGACTCAGCCCAGCAAGTTCACATCTGGGGACCCAAAAAAGGTGGGCTGGGAAGGTCCTCCCAAAGGATGGGGAGCTCTTAAGCTGGTTCAGTGCTTAAAGTACCTGTTTCTAAAACAGCAAGATAGGTTTACAGAGTCTCTGGTAGGCTGCCAAACATGTATTACCAGTTGTCCAGGCCTGCTTTGAAACTAACACTGTTTGCAGGACCCTCAAAGTGGCCACTCCATCCAGGGCTCATTCATAGAAATGTATCTTGATTTACTGGTACCTGCTGTCCCTCGAGATGCTTCCTTTGTACCCAAATGCTGCACCGTGGAGCCAAACCAGAAACACAATAAAATGCTCCGTGGGTGAGCTTTTAGCCTGTTGTGGCTGATCAATCATCTGGGTATGTCCTAGAGAATTTGGAAACAGCTCCAATGTCAGGCTGATCAATTGTCTACTCTAGCTGCACCACCACATCAGATCGGACCATGCTGAAAAGCTAAAAAATGGTTGTTTCCCCATCTTTCTAACCTCACACAGTGGGTTTGGAATTCTTGTAGGTGTGTCTAAACACACAGCAGTAGCTCCGCTTTCTGTTTTGTTTAATGGAGTTGTGTTTGTTTGGGAGGTCTCAACCTTTGTAAATCTAATGGCAAGCCACTTTCACAACCTTCAATTTCCCTCTGCTTTGCCACCATGTCGTGGTTTATTCCCTGCTCTTTCAAGCCCTTACGTAAATATTCATGCTGCTGCAGAAACTGCACTGCTAACACACCCAACACACCCATACCCACATCCAAGGGTATTCTGCCAGCAGCACAAACAACCCTCCTCTCCCTCTCTCTCTATTTTGCTCTTGAGAAATCAGTGCACAAACCCATTTTGCAAAGCTGGAATCCAGATAAGAATCAACCCAAGTTCTCTTGAAGAAGTGGCAGCTGGTTATCTGAATGGTCCCACATCTATCTGAAACCAGCCAGCCAGCACTTTGACATGGGAAATTCAGAATTCTGATGGCTATGCATAGCTAGAATCTTCCGTTTTAAATCAGCTGAAGATCTGCATCAGCTGTAAATCTGAAAACTAGTTTACTGTGTATAAAAACTGAACCTGGAGTGATCTCAGCCTGAATTCCAGCACATCAAACTGTGTCCATCAAATGTGGCACATCAGAGCAACACATATCACCAATCTACTCTGTGATATGAAATTGTGCTACAAACTTTTTTGTGTAGAATAAATTAAACATTGAGACCCATGGACAGTTTTTCCTATTCACCCTACATACTAAGCCCAAGATTTCAATCTAAAGTTTTCAGTCACCAGCTAGCCAATAAAGCATCAAGACTAAAATTTAGCTAAACTGCAAACTCCAGGGGGAGAGGAACATTGTAGAAACCACAAAAAACTCTTAAAATACTTTGGCATCGTATGTACAAAATGTGCAGTCAGTGTCATGCCTGGGTACCACAACAGATCAAAACTGGATTGAATGGGGAAAAATAATTTGAAAGGCTTAGTCAATAAAAACAAGTATCACCCCCCTAAGCTATTCAAAATTATTTCATCAAAGACATTAGCACACCATGTACACAAACACAGCAATGCTATGACATGATTACAAATTAAATATTTTAAAAGTGGTTTTTTTAAAGTACAACGTAAGACCAATCAAATTAAGTGCACAGAACATAATGCAGAATACTGGTACGTACAGTGACAAGGATATTGAACAAGATTATTATATTTATACTAAGCAATGCTTTAATATAAAAGAGAGTGTCAACAAAGCTAAATGGATTACTCTTCTTTATGTTGCAACAAAGACCAGCATTCTCTCCAACTACATCAACAAAACATAATGACTTAGTTTCCCCAATCTCATGCTGTTTCCTGTAAAATGCTGGACAATGCTGAGTAACGCCCCCCCCCCCGAATACCCAATGTAGCCATCAAAAAGTGCAATAAAAATACACACTGCATTTATAAAATGTCCTGTATGTGGTTCAAAAATCTTTGGAAGCATGTTATGACACGTTAGGCTGTACAAACTGATGCATTTCAGAGGCTCCCAAAGTTAACCAAGAGTCTTTTTAAAGAATAATAATAATCAAAGAGGGAATATTCTGTTCTTTTCTCAAGGCTGGTCCTCGTGTGTGTGTGTGTTTGTGTGTGTGTGTGTGTGTGTGTGTACACCCAGAAATGGAGTAGCTCAGAAGCAGGTTCCAAGACAGACCCATGAACTGCTGAGTGGCTTCTGGCGTCTGGAAGTTTACAGATCCATCTTGGAGCCAGCCTCATTATTCATTTAGACAAGAATTTTACATGTCTTTTCTAGAACTGGGACCTTTCGTTCTTTTCCTTTCTTCAAATGTTGTAAAAATAATGGACAACCCACAGTGGAAGAAAACCTTACAATACGTCTTCAAGTAAAATAGCTCCTGAAATCAAGAACTCCAGAATCATATGCTACATTTCCCTAAAACCTCTATTTTAGTTTCTGGCATTCAATAATAAATTACGTGGGAAACACCACATTTATTTAATACTGCAAAGTCAGCCTCGGAGCAGAGGTGCGTGTTAAACAAGCATGGCGCTGTTGCTGAAAATGACGTCCGTGCATTTAGTTTCCCCTCCATATCCCCTTGGTTGCCACTGGGAAGAGGTGTTGAAAATGCAACAGAATGACATTATGACATGGATAAAGAGAGGAATGCGTGGGCTTCCAGATGTTGTGGACTCCATCTCCCATCAGTCCTACCAGCATGGCCAATAGCCAGGTATGATGCAAGTTGCAGTCTAACCACATCTTGAGCGTCAAAGGTTTATCATCCCTGGGATAATTTTTTTTATTACTCATTGGGGAGAGAAAGGGAAAACTGGACATGGCGCTCCCATTTTCAAAAACAGCTTTGTGTTTTCTTTTGTAATGTGTAGCCCAGCCTTCACACTACGATGTTAGACAGAGGTGTGGAAAAAGCCCCATCATGGCATTATGGCATGGGCTAAGTGGGGAACCTGTATGTCCCTCAAGATGTTGTGGCACTCCAAACTCCCATCAGCCTCAGGGAATTATGGGAGTTGGAGTTTAACAGCATCTGGAGGGCCACAGGTTCCCCATCCTTGATCTCAGGATAGAAACGACAGCATTAAAAACCCTCCAGTTCAACCAATGGGCTCACCCAGCAGTTCCCACCCATCCCTCCACATTGATCATGTAAACGAAACATTGGAATAGTGTCTTCACTGTGTCTCATATTGCAAACCATCAAGAGTACCTTTATTATGTCTCCTGATCCTCTCTTTTTTTAAAGTGTGTATCTACATCTAAGTGAAAAACTCAGGCTAGTGTTGTCGGTGTGCCCTATTTTGCTCGGTGAAAACACATACTGTGTAAACGGAAGCAGAACTGTGTTTTCAGTGTGCACTGTGGAAGAAAGCACCCTGGAAGAAAAGAAAACAAAGGGAAACCTCACTCTTACACTTTTCTTTTTAAAGTTGAAATGATGACTCTTAACCAAACAGAAGCTGCTGCCCAACAGCGAGATGTTACTGGGGGCTACCTGTTGACCTGATCAAGCTCTTGTGTAAATTGGGGTTTTGACTGTGTCGGTTTCTGCTGCGCACGGAAGAAAACATTGTATTGCAACCTGGGACTTTGCATTGGTGGAGCTGGCGGAGATGGACTGTTTTGTAATGGGCCCTGAAAGTTCCTTTATTACTGTAGCTTTTTTGGCATATGTGGCAGGTTATTGGCAAACTGGAAGGTATGCTTGAGAAACTCTCGTTAGTCTTCTCCACCAGAGAACAGTCTTGGTAGAGGTCTTCATTCGGGATCAAAGGTGGACTTTCACAGCTTTCGTCACTGTCCTCCAAAACCCCAGGACCTTCTTCATTGTCTCCGTCAGAATCCCAAGAGGAATGAGCACTGCCCTCCGACTTGATGCTGGATGTTGTGCTTAAATCCAGAACGGCCCCATCGTTTACCAGGTCATACTGGTAGCTCTCGGGGCAGGCCTCTCCCATCTTGCTCATTGGGAAAACCAGGCTGCCAGTCCTGTTCATCCCTTTGAAGATGACCGACGTTTGGTGCCCAACGTGTCCTATCAAAGAGTCGTCCGGACAAATCTCTTTCGCCATATCCTTCAAGAGGTACGTTGCATTGAAATGGTGGTTCTTGATTTCCAAGGGATCTTTGGTCAAAAGCTTATGGTGAAGGTTGAGGTTGGAGCTATGTCTGGAGAAAGAAGATCAGGGATGCTGTTAGAATCAAGGAGGAGAAGCAGCTGAACAGTCAACACTTAAGCACAAACTCTGAATGTGAGCATTGTCCCAGCGTGGATACTACCCCTCGCCCAAGTGATAAATGCTGTAACAGCAATGTAACCATGGTGTGGAGATAGAGGCACCTTCCTTGGGTACAATTGGGATAAGGGTACTAAATGGGCAACCAAGAGCATGTAATATATTGATGGCTATGCCTCTAGGATGACCTGTCTCATCACGGCACTGCAGTCATTTCTCTTTGTTCAGGCTTGTGGGAAGGGCGAGGTGAGGATTGTATTTTTTCTGTTGCTGCGGTTTCATTTGCATGGAATTTATGTTGGCCTCTCTTAATATGATTGGTTTTAATTTTATGTATTTCTGACCTGAGACCTTCAGATGAAGAGCAGAATAAATAAAATTATTTTTAAAAATATATCTGTCAGGGAACTGCCATCGGAGCCAGGAGTGGAGACAAGGCTCTCAAGCGATGCCGGAGAAGGGCCCAGCAGGGAGAGAGGGGACTCATCGGCCGGGGAAGGAAATCAGCGTGGCACCAGGGAGAAAGGCGGGCAGAGGCGGGCTTCGGAGAGATGGCTCCAGGACTCTTCGCCAGAGACCAGCGGGGAGAGCACGGGTCCTCCGCTGCCCACACCCACCCTGCGCAGAAGACTTCCGCGCAGGGAGGCTAGGCGGAGACTATCCGTCAAGGAGCTTTTATGTTGGAAGAAGTTCAGGAAACGCCCACTGACGGATTCTGCCAGTGACTGAGACAGCCGCAGAGTCAGGGCTGTCCAGCCAGGGAAAGGTTTATCCAGGCAACCTTGCCAAGAGTGGCGGCAACTTACGCACGAGCAAACCCCAATTTCCATTACAATATCTTAAATTCAGTCCAGTTTGTTTGATCTCCGTACCATAAACAGCTAACAGAGCGTAGGGTGACCAAGACAGCCACATTAGCAAAAATTTTAAAAGGACAAGATACATCAAGTGGTGGAGAACTTTTGGTCTTCTAGATGTCACTGACTACAACTCCCATCAGCCCTAGCAAGCATAGCCAATGGGCAGGGATAACGGGAGTTGCAGTTCTGTGACATTTGGAGAAACAAAGGTTCCCCACACCTAATATCCATGAACAAATGGTGCCATAGCCTTAAGTAAGACAACACATTTTCTCCCAGTACAGAACAGCTAGTCCCGTTTTTCAAGATGAACAGCCGGATGCAGCAGCTAGTTCTGAGGTCTGGCGAGGGCAGTGAGCCAGCCAGAGCAGCCCTGTTGCATCTTCTCCTTAGTTCTGTCCCCACAGCCTGACACAGGAAGGCAAATCTGGCCACTACATACTGCTAGTAAAAGGTAAATGTAAAGGACCGCTGGATGGTTAAGTCCAGTCAAAGGCGACTATAGGGCTGTGGCACTCATCTCGCTTCAGGCCGAGGGAGCCAGCGTTCATCCACAGACAGCTTTCCAGGTCATGTGGTCAGCATGACTAAACTGCTTCTGGCGCAACAGAACACCGTGACGGAAGCCAGAGCGCATGGAAATGCCATTTACCTTCCTGCCACAGCGATGCCTATATATTTACTTGCACTGGTGTGCTTTCGAACTGCTAGGTTGGCAGGAGCTGGGACAGAGCAATGGGAGCTCACCCCATCGCGTGGATTCGAACTGCCAACCTTCTGGTCAGCAAGCCCAAGAGGCTCAGTGGTTTAGACCACAGCGCCACCTGTGACCCATACTGCAGGTGGAGAAGGGGGGAAGCGGAAGCAGGAGGCAGCAAGATTTGGGGCCAGCAGCTTCTGAACAGGAACAGTCATATCTGACTGCAATCTCAGACCTTAAATAGTCCACAACAATTCTTCCTGTTTGTTAGCTACTTCCCAGCTGGCAATGGGATTGAATTGGAACCTGCTGGAAATGGCAGCAGGGGAGGGTGCCGATGCACTCAGATCCTGTTTGTGGGCTTTCCATAGGCACCTGCCTGGCTGCTTTGAGAACAGCATGCTGGACCAGACAAGCCCTTGGCCTGATCCAGAAGGCTCTTCTTATGTTCTTATCTGCCCAGAGGGCAAAAAGGGAAGTGGGAGGGGAAAGCAGAGGGGGCAGGCAGGGAGTAGGCTGAACAGATGGTGTGATTGATGGAGGAGAGGAAACTAAGTCCTCTGCCATCAGTTCAGAAGACGATAAATGATAGATAGATAGATAGATGATAGATATAGATAGATGATATATAGATGATATATAGATAGATAGATAGATGATAGATATATGATAGATGATAGATAGATAGATGATAGATAGATAGATAGATAGATAGATAGATAGATAGATGATAGATGATTGATAGATGATAGATGATATAGATAGATATAGATGATAGATAGATGATAGATAGATACATAGATGATTGATAGATAGATAGATAGATAGATAGATAGATAGATAGATAGATGATAGATACATAGATACCACTGTAGATTTTGCTTTAAAAATTTAGGGAGACAGCTGAAAAGGCAAGTTAAATGCAAGACCTTGTTATCCTGCCTGTGCAAGAAATTGCATCTCTAAAAACGACAACCCACAAATAAAATTATTTTCAACCACTGTTATCTACTAGCAATGAAATTTCCAGGGTTTCATTTAATGACGTGGTTCCCAATGTGAGGCACACGCCCCACAGGGGGGCAAGTTGTTTTTTTTGGGGGGGGGGGCAATTCAAGAATGAGTTATTAACAGTGAATGGCCTTTTAGGCTTCCTCCACGTGAACAGGAGTTTACTTTTTGAATAACAGTATTATATGTCACGGGGTGTGGGGGGGGGCATCAGGATTTTAGAGACACTTAGGTGGGGCATGGCTAAAAAAAGGTTGGGAACCACTGATTCAATGCCTTCTTCTCCAGGGGGAAAAGCAAGGTTTTGTCGCATGGATTTTCAGTGCTCCAATAAGGTACGGAACAGCATGAGGAAGATACATGGGGTGAGGGGGCACACCACAAAAACATGCTTCAAAACTTATTTGCATTTCAGACTAGGCTCCATTGTAGGACTATTATTTTATTTTTATTTTTAAAAAAATAATAATAGAAGGATTATGTGCACTCTTTTCTTACCTGTCTCGGCTTCTACGAGAAGGAAAGGCAGCACTGCAACCCTCCACGGTGCAAATATGCATTTCTTTTAGGTGTACGTTTTTAAAATGCATTTTCACACTGTAGGGGTTTTTAAAGGTCTTCTTACAGATGTCACAATGGAAACGGCTGTCTTCCCTCTGAAGCCCTAGCGGCGCATGTTGACTGACACGATCTATATCTTTAAAAGCTTCGAAACCAGGAACAGCTACACTCCTACCGGACAGTGTGCCAAACGCCCCCCTACTCAGCAAGTGGTGTCGCAATTCAGCGCAGTCGTTCATTGGGATCCTGTAATTCAGTTGCTCTTTAAGATAGCCATGGGGTTCTGTCACTGCTTTGATCACATCGCGCTGCTGGTTTGAATCTTTGCAGGCATTTTCACAAGAAACTACCTTTAACAATTTGCCTTGTTCGGGCTTAGCTGTTTTCTCAGGGCGATGCAACTCGTCCGCGTTGGCGCATGTGTTATTTGGCTCAATAGATTTAAAATATGTCGGCCCTCCATCTTCAGAAATGGATTTCTGTGATGTACCTGAATGGGACTTCTTTTCCATTGGGTGGTTTGGGTTTTTTTCTATCCTAGAACCGCCCATCTCAACATGCCCGTCACTTACCGGCCGAGGAGGCATGTCGTCTTCCGAGCTGGCAACTTCGTGAGTTGCGCTAGGGGTATCAACGGCTTCTGTCTCTATCTTGATGGGCATGCTAGACTTGCGGGATTTTTTCTTGGGCAGTGCGTCAAAGGGTGATTCGTTGGAAACCAGCGGCTCAGGGATTGACGAGGAAACCAGAGGTAGGGAAGGAAGGGTGCCGGGAGTATTTGCAAGTTCAGCCGGTGTGACCGGACTGCGATAGAATGGAAGAACTGGCTGCACGGTCCTCAAGTTTGGAAAGAGAATGCCATTTTGGCCAGTACTGTGAAAACCTGGCTGTGTCTTTGAATCGCTGCAAGAGCTTCCGTAGCTGGAAACGGATCTACTGTCGGGAGGCAAAATATTAAAATCCGTCCGTTTGTTCTCTTCCAGTCCGGTGATGGCCAACCCGTTTCTCAGATCTTTATCCCTGTTGTTCCTGTTCATTGGCATGTGAAGTCTAGGGTTGGGGTTGGCACTGTGTCGATTTCGGCTCCGGAGGGAGCTAAAGACCATGTTGCATCCTTCAATGGTACATTTATGTTTGATCTTCAGGTGGACAGCGTTGTAGTGGATCTTCAGAGTCCCTTTGTCGTAAAAGGTCTTTTCGCACGCTGTACAAAAAACACGCCCTCTCCTCGTGGCGAAGCCGTTTTTATCGACAGATTTTATTTTACTTTCTGGGGAGAGCTGGCTCATTTCAGGCTTTGTGATGCTGCTGGGCGAACTTAAATCGCTTGGAGAAGTGTCGTCCTTCAAAGCGATATCTGGGCTGGTCGAGGCCACCTCCTTTTCACCTTGAAATGAAGACTCGGAAGTTAGGAAGCTGTTTTTCCGCAAACTGTATAGGAACATCTTGCTTGAGTTCATTGCTGCAGTCCTGACTTTGCTCCATCAAAAGCCTCTCAGGGGGTGAACCTATGAGGGGCGGAGGAACAGGACTGAAAAACTGAAACGGCAACATGAAGGCCATGTTGTTGACAACGTTCTCAAAGTGGTGGATGTTGACAGGGTTCATTTTGTCCAAGGAAGCCGGGAGGCTTGCACTCCTCTGACTACAGCTTTCGATGAATGCCCTAATATCCATATTGGCTGCAGTTGTGGGGATGATGATGGACTGCCCTTCTTTCTCCTGAATCGCCATTAACTCCACAATGGACTTGGTCTCGCCAAAGCGCAGAAATTGCTGCAAAGTAGCCAGTTCTTCTTCACTGGTCATGATACTCCAGTGGTCCAGGACCTTTCCTGCAGCATCCTTAAAAAGACAACAGACAACACTGTACGTAACAGAGGAACACACCAACATCAAATTCATATGGATGCTTCAGTGCAGGGGCAGCTAACATACCGTATTTATCGCCCTATAGGACGCCAAAAATGAAGGGGAAATGTGTGTGCGTCCTATGGGGCGAATGCAGGCTTCCTTGGCTTCAGTGATAGCAACGCAAAGCCTCCGAAGCTGCGCTCCGGAGGCTTTGCGTTGCTTTCGCTGAAGCCAGAAGAGTCGGCTCTTTGAGGCTGGCGGTGGGGGAAAGCAGGGCTTCCCCCCATCGCCAGCCCCAGAGGATCTGGGGGCAGCGGGAAGGCGCGCGACGCCTTCCCGCTACTCTCTGACCCGGCTTTGAGGCTGGCGGTGGGGGAAAGCAGCGCTTCCCCACATCGCCAGCCCCACAAGCTGGGTCGAAAAGCCCGCAGGAGCCGCGCACCCTTTAAAGAGCGAGCGCTCTTGGGGGCTTTTCCCCAAGGAGGGAGAAGGGACTGACTGGCCGAGTCAGTCCCTTCTCCCTCCTGTGGGCTTTTGCGGGAGATGGGGGAATTCCCCCACCTCCCGCAGAAGCCCGCAGAAGCCATGTGCTCTTTAAAGGGGCTGCGCGGCTTCTGCTGGCTTTTCTACGAGGTGGGGGAATTCCCCCACCTTGTAGAAAAGCCCGCAGGGGCCGCGCAGCCTTTAAAGAGTGCGCCACTCTTGAGGGCTTTTCCCCAAGGAGGGAGAAGGGACTGACTGGCCGTTTCAGTCCCTTCTCCCTCCTGGTCGAAAAGCCCGCAGGAGTCGTGCGCGGCTCCTGTGGGCTTTTGCGGGAGGTGGGGGAATTCTGCCACCTCCCGCAAAAGCAGGAAGAAGGTCTTGGAGTAGCGCACAGGCTGCGTGCTCCCAGAGCTGCGGGGGATCATATTTTTTCCTTGATTTCCTCCCCCGAAAACTAGGTGCGTCCTATGGGCCGGTGCGCCCTATAGGGCGAAAAATACAGTAGATATTGTTGGACTGTAACTCTCATAATCCTTGACCATTGGTCATACTGGCTGGAGCTGATGAGGGTTGTAACCCAATGGTATTTGAAAGCACAACGTTGCCTACCTCTCCTTGAGATGCTTATGCTTAACTTGCAAAGTGGAAGGGCCATAGCTCAGTGGCAGATAATCTGCTTTGCATTCAGATTCAAGTCCCAGGTTCAATCCCCGGTGTCTCCAAGTGTGGCCAGAAAAGACCCATGCCTGAAGAGCTGCTGCCAGTCAGTGTAGACAATATTAACTAGACAGACCAACGTTCTGAATCAGCTCCCTATGTTCCTGTGTGCTAAAGTTGCTACTCTGCGTGGCCTTCTCCACCTCCCAGTAAAAAAGGAGACAAGACAGGCATGCTCCACTCACTCACTCCTTCTGATGTCCTGTCACTCGTCCCACTCACTCACTTGCAGTACAACACACCTGGGATTCTGCTTGCCAGAACAGGTGAAAGATGCTCCATGCACCATGATAACCACAGAGGGAGCAGGCTAGGGGAACTGTGTTTGCCTTGTCCCGTGCTTCAGTGGGAGTTTGAAAGGGCTATATTTGGGGTCAGGATGGCAATAATAATAATACAGTCATACCTCAAGTTGAAGTAGCTTCGGGTTAAGCATTTTCGGGTTGCGCTCCGCAGCGACCCGGAAGTAACGGAGTGTGTTACTTCCAGGTTTTGCCACTCGCGCATGCGCAGACGCTCAAAATGACATCACACGCATGCGCAGAAGCGACAAATTGCGACCAGCGCACGCGCAGACGCGGGTTGCGTTCACTTCAGGATGCGAACGGGGCTCCGGAATGGATCCCGTTCGCATCCAGAGGTACCACTGTAATAATAATAATAATAATAATAATAATAATAATAATAAATAATTTATACCCCGCCCATCTGGCTGGGTATAAATAAAACATTAAACACTAAACAGGGCTGCCTTCAGATGTCTTTTGAAAGTCAGATAGTTGTTTATTTCCTGACATCTGATGGGAGGGCATTCCACAGGGCAGGCGCCACCACTGAGAAAGCCCTCTGCCTGGTTCCCTGTAACCTCACTTCTCACAGGGAGGGAACCGCCAGAAGGCCCTTGGCGCTGGACCTCAGTGTCCAGGCTGAATGATGGGGGTGGAAATGCTCCTTCAGGTATACTGGGCCGAGGCTGTTTAGGGCTTTAAAGGTCAGCACCAACACTTTGAATTGTGCTCGGAAACATACTGGGAGCCAGTGTAGGTCTTTCAAGACCGGTGTTATATGGTCTCGGCGGCCCCTCCCAGTCACCAGTCTAGCTGCCACATTCTGGATTAGTTGTAGTTTCCAGGTCACCTTCAATGTTTCCAGGTCACCCTGGTGGCATTCCTGATTTGTACTGTCACTTTTTTTTTGGTAGGGGGCAGCTCAGACTAAATAGACACAAGGTGAGGGTTGTTTCTTAGGGTTAGCATTAGGCTCATCTGGCTTAGTATTGTCCACAGTGACTGACAATGACCCTACAGGGTTTCAGGCAGGGGTCTATCCCAATCCTACATGGAGATACCCAGAAGTGAACCTGAATCTGAGACCACCTGCATGCAAAGTAGATGCTCTAACACTGAGTTATCGCCCTTCCTATAAAGTGACCAAGTGATGGCCAGAGTTGGAAGTGCAGGGTGAGGAGGGTGAGCAGGTCAGGATCCAGCTCAGGAACCCACAGCTGCCCATCACTATTCCAGGCAGTTTTCTGAGAGGTTAGGCTTCTTTGTCTAGCCCAATCCACCCAATTTGCTAAGGCGGAGGGCAGCTTGTCTTGGCAATTCTGTGATATATATTATTCTTGGATTTCAATCACCCCAACATTTGTTCTTTCTAACACAGCACCGATGATTAGAAAGTATTTTGCAATCACCCCAGAAAAAAATGAAGACGTGTACCAGCGAAACAACATGTACGAATGGAGAGAGAGAGATGGAGCAATCAGAAGAAGATTTAGCTCCACATTTAAGTCAAGTATTCTTCCACTGCAAGTTTAATAATCTTCCAAGCTACTAAGATCAGAGAACAAATGAACCTGCATCGATCCTTCGCCAGTGTTTACAGAGCACAGCTGTAATTACACTAGAGTGTTGCAAGTTCTTTCAAACTCCAGCCATACCTAACTTTTCCCAATATCTGTAATAAATATTTTATCACAGAACATGTATTTGATGGCCTACTGAGGGTTTTCACTGAGCACACAAGACTTCTCTAAGATGATGAAGAATGTATCATCATCAATTTTTCATGCAAAAAAGGTTCAAGGTAATTGAGCCCATATTTTTTAATCCTAACACTAAAAAGCAAAATTATCAAGTGCCATGAAATATTTATTCATGCCATAACATAAATCATAATGCTACTTTACATTGAAACAAGAATGCCAATAGAGGAGCAGCATTTGTGTAAACATAAGGAGCTAACTTCTGCCCCGGTGTAACGGTACTGATGATGCTGGAAAGGTTCAAAATGGCATCACTGAAATCGATAAATTTATGGTGAATGTCTGCATTATAAGGGTGCTAGTGCGGCTTCAAGTTCTGATGCAACTGGGTGAGCTGCTGGGATGCCAGCAGAACGTTCACAAACATTCAAACTTCTCAGGAAACAAAGCTTGCAGAAAGCTTTTCTTAAAAATTCTTTGTACTTCTCCAGATGTTGGGGTGCCCACCAACACACAGACCACTGGTTCTCGCTCATTTCGGCCCCGATTCTTGTCACCCTCCTAGCGGGAGCGAGGACCAAGAGATGTACCTGTAAGACATATCCACGTATGTAGTCTTGAAGTGTCCAGTCCAGAGCATGGAGGATATGAATGACTTCTTCTTGCTTCAGGACACTGAAAAGCCGATCTAAGAGAATTTTGAGACGGACAGGAACTGCCTGAGTTCCCATACAGCATGAGGCTGCTGATATCAAATACCACATTAGACTGGACAATTTCCACTTGGCTTGTGGGGTATAGGTTAGGGATCCTTAGCTTACTTAAGGCTGAAAAGAAAAGGAAAACAAAAGGCGAGTGACTACTTACGTATAAATGGGTATGAAACAATTAGACAAAAAGAACACAATTGGGGTACTAGGGGTTTGAACTTGAACAGTATTTCCCAATTATTTAAGCTTGGGGAGGGGTTGGGTGCAAATTTCTGATTTGGCGCATGATCCCTTTGTTAGGTTGGCTAGGCTAGGGATGGATGGGGCTGTGAACTTTGGTTCGCTCCATTTTTCCACCTGGAAGGCACCATGTTGACTGTAATAATCATCACCATCTTGTTACCCCGCCCATTCGACTGGGTTGCCCCAGCCACTCTGGGGCAGCACATACAAAAAACATACTAAAATATTAAACATCAAAAACTTCCCTATACAGAGCTGCCTTCAGGTGTCTTCTAAAGGTTGTATTGTTGCTTATCTCCTTGACATGTGATGGGAGGGCATTCCACAGGGTGGGTGCCAATACCAAGAAGGCCCTCTGCCTGGTTCCCTGTAAACTGTCCCCAGTTTAGCCTAAATCATGTTCTGAACATTCAGAATTATGTAAACCTCTTGTAAAGCAAATTGCTATTAGTTACGTAGCAATTCATACTAGTTATGGATTGCACCAAAGAAGTGCTTTACTATCCCAAAGCTGAGCTGAGTATGACTCTATAGACAATTATTATAAGCAATTTCTGAGTTTTGTTATTAGTGACTTTGCAATGTCTCCGTTAATAAACTGAAAACTGTACTTAAGACAGCTAGTGGCTACTTGGTAAGGCAAGGATTTTTTATTTTCTTTTAAAATTCTTTGAGGTTTATTACCATGTGCTACCCATCCATGCCGACACTGGTCACATTGTCGCTGGTTTATTTTCCCAGGTTTGAAGCACTGGCAGCTGCAGCTTACCAGAGTGCAACGGATGGCCTGAAAGAGCAGAAACAGATTAAAACGTTAAGGGGTGAGTAACATGTGCAACACGCTGGAGAGAGGAAAGGGGAAGGGGAATGGAACAAGCATGGGCAAATATGCAAAAAATGAAGAATTATGAATATGCATAGATAGGGCTGCCATATGTCTGGAATTTCCTAGACATAGCTGGGATTCGTTCGTGAAAAATAGTGTCCGGGTAGAATTTTAAATGTCTGTGAAAACCTGGGTGTATGGCAGCCATATTGGAAGTGGGATTTTTTTGGTCAAAATTCCTAAAAAAGAGCTCCAAAACATCATATTTGGGGGGGGGGGGAAGCTGAACAACTTTTGTGTCTGGATTTTCACTTGTTGAAATATAGCAAGCCTAATAGAACACAATAGTCACAACGTTGGTCAACCTTTTTTATGGACTGTACTACTTCAGACTAAGGATGGTTTCTCAAAGTTTGTCATTTTTCCAGTGTCAGGTTCAGTGCTTCACATTTTCCCATTAGTTTGAGGGTGTCTCTTTTTCTTTTTTTAAAGTTCTCATGAATATGTACCAGCATTTTAGTGTGAATTTCCCTAATATACACATGTTTGTGTGCAATTTTGCCAGGTACACACCTTTTTGCATTTCTCTGTGCTATTTTTAAAACAATATATGGATTTTCATGCACACTCTTCCCCCAACATATGCATTTCTGTACACAACAACTGGTTGCAAAATTCAGAAATGTGCAAATTTCAACAGATTGCTGTGTTCCGGTTGGTATATTGTTCCGGAAAGCATGAATTTGGTGGGGTTGCTTTTAAATGAAAACTGAACTAATTTCTCCCCTGCAGGTTATTCCATGTTTTCATATATATATATATATATAGGTTATTCCATGTGTATGTATGTGTGTATATATATATATGGTAAAGGTAAAGGTACCCCTGCCCGTTCGGGCCAGTCTTGCCAGACTCTAGGGTTGTGCGCTCATCTCACTCTATAGGCCGGGAGCCAGCGCTGTCCGCAGACACTTCCGGGTCACGTGGCCAGCGTGACAAGCTGCATCTGGCGAGCCAGCGCAGCACACGGAACACCGTTTACCTTCCCGCCAGTAAGCGGTCCCTATTTATCTACTTGCACCCGGGGGTGTTTTCGAACTGCTAGGTTGGCAGGCGCTGGGACCGAGCAACAGGAGCACACCCCGCCGCGGGGATTCGAACCGCCGACCTTTCAATCAGCAAGCCTTAGACGCTGAGGCTTTTACCCACAGCGCCACCCGCGTCCCCCTACACACACACACACACACACACTCTTTTCCCACAGAAAGCTAGCACATCAGAGAGAACCATTCTCCTAGCTCAGCCTTCTCTGTCTAATATTTAGGGTCAAATGACAAATTATGCTAAATGTGTTTCTTTCCACCTCTCTCTCTTTAACTAAAAGCAGCCACAGGGATGGGGAGGGTGACCTAGATCAGCACAGCAGCACAAGGGGCGGGGGCGGATTTAACCCTTTCCCTATTCATCCACTTCCTGCTGAAAGATCCCCAAAAGCTGCCATTTCACTCCCAGCTTTGGGGGAGCATTTTCAAAAGAGAAATACCCTGTGCTAGCGTCTTTGATCTGAATCTGTTCCTCCTTGCAGCTGCTGTTAGGTTGCTGTTTTTTTAAAAAAGAGAGAGGGAGAGAGAAGGAGAACCCCAGTCACGAAATTCAAAGATATGTTTAGCATCACATGTAGTTTGACCCACATTTGCTACATGCCAATAAATAAATGGGACTTTAAAAATGCTTTGCCTTAGAGAGATTGTACCCTAAAATAAGAAAACAAAGGGCAAGGTTTTCCCCCAAACCATGTATTTAAATGCTTCTAACTATCAAACTATAGATACCAATTGCAACCCAGATCATTTTAAAAGATGTGTTATTTAGGGCTATCTTTTAAAATCTAAACAAAAAACAAAACAAAAAATCCTTCCAGTAGCACCTTAGAGACCAACTAAGTTTGTTATGAGCTTTCGTGTGCATGCACACTTCTTCAGATACACTGAAACAGAAGTCACCAGACCCTTATATATAGTGAGAGAGTGGGAAGGGGTATTACTCAGAAGGGTGGTGGGAATGGGTGATTGGCTGATAGGTGTGGTAAACCGGATGACGTCTGTTAACGACTGCAGTTGGTCTTACAGGAAAAAGCAAGGGGTGAGATGGCTAAAAATAGCTTTATTGTGTATAATAAGATCAGAATCCAATGTCTCTACTCAGACCAGGTCTCTCCATGGTTTTAAGTTTGGTAATACGTTGCAATTCAGCAACTTCTCTTTCCAGTCTATTTCTGAAATTCTTTTGTAACAAGACAGCTACTTTGAGATCTTGTATAGAATGTCCTGGGAGATTGAAGTGTTTTAAAATCTAGTTCTTCTTCCTGTAGTTCCAGGGATGGGAGTCTGTGGCCCTCCAGATGTTGCTGGATTCCAGCTGCCAACATCCCTGACTTGGGATGCTGGCTGGGATTGATGGGACTCCAGAAATATCTGAAAGGCTGTGAGTTCCCCAACCCTGGTAGGGCATGTCATTTTAGGGAGTGAAACTTAATTTTTGCTCCCCCCCCCCCAGGTATGGGTGTGAGGAATTAAAATCTGCTATTATTACTGTCATCAGACAACATATAAAATTATTATTATTATTATTATTATTATTATTATTATTATTATTATTATTATTATTAGGCTTGGTAAGTCTATGTTTGGTGAAGAAGCACATAAACTGCTTTAAGAAAAACCAAAGAATTTTAATGTGACCTTCTGAAAATGTCGCGTAATGATGATGTTGATGATGATAATAATCTGCAAGTACTTGGAAATAGTTTTTAATGATTTCCATGCAACTGTACACACATTTTACTTACCAAGCAAAACTAAACTATATTATTTTAGCCAGAATTCCCAGGTCATGCTCCAACTTTTTTAGCAACCCTCGTTTTGGGAATTTGAAAGCTGAAAAACTCATCATGCCCTACTGCGCCAGCTCATTTTGCAAGGGCTGAAACTTGAGCAAAGAAATTTAAGCCAACCAGTCATATGAGTTTTAACTGCATAAGTTTGCATGGGTAAAAAAGAGTATCTCCAAAGGGGGGGGTGAATCTTTAGATGATGTCACTACAGGCATCATTCTGCAAATAGTGCACTGTGTCATATTTCATAGAGACTTTGTCAGGCGAGGCCTCCTTCCACCTGCCTTGCCCCACCCTCTAGTCTCTGCTTCTCAATTTATATTGTATTATTTTATGTACTGTGGCTTGCCGTTGTTTTATTGATCATAGTTTATAAATTATTTATTGTAACTGTTGAGTGGATTTCTTTTTAACTTTTATATGTTGACATTATTATTTTATACTGTTCTAATGATTGTTGAATCTTACTTTTTTGGTGTAGGTTGCTTATTTTAAAGTTTTGTTTTATTACCACATTTTTGTATTGCATTAGATTGTTATAAGGTGTACATTTTTTGTTTCTTCAGCCTGTAAACCGCCTTGAGTATTGTAAGATAGAAAGACGGTATACAAATTATAAAATGATGGTGATAGTAAGTCGCAGGTGAGGCTTGGCATCTACAGGGAGCAACCGCTGATAGGAATGTTATGATTCCGAATAAGTTACATTCCCATTCTCAGACATTCACTGTATTCCTCACACAGACAAATACAGCCCACGCTGGTTAGGGAAAAAAGTGTTTCCTGAGGGCCAGGGACAGAGGTTGAAGGGCCATATTTGACCCCACCCCTGAAAGAGGCCTTCATGCACATTGCTTCTTCCCAGCGCTATTTTTCAAAAGAAAAAAAGAAAAAAAGGGCCAGAATTCACCATTAACACTTCCCATTAACACCATTAACACTTTTTTGTCTTAGAATGGCAATGGTGCTCACCTGAGAGGCGTAGTAAAAAGGCACACAGTGTGGTAATTAATAGTAAAACAGAGATAAAACGGGGGGGGGGGGATATTGGGACAGGGGAGGAATGATCATTTGCAGAAAGCAACAAAATTCCTTTGTGTTTAAAAGCAATCTCCATGACTGATACCTCCACTGCCTGTTTATGGCAGCCCCCTGTACCTTGTGTACAGTTGCACAGAAAAAGGAATTCAAGCAAGCATAATAATAATAATAATAATAATAATAATAATAATAATTTATTTATATCCTGCCCATCTGGCTGGGCCTCCCCAGCCATTCTGGGCAGCTCCCAACAGAATACCCAAAACACGATAAAACGTCAAACATTAAAAACTTCCCTAAATAGGGCTGCTTTCAGATGTCTTCTAAAAGTCAGATAGTTGTTTATCTCTTTGACATCTGATGGGAGGGCGCCCCACAGAGCGGGCACCACTACCGAGAAGGCCCCCTGCCTGGTTTCCCTCACTTTCCCTCACTTCCACATGATGGGGGTACAGTATCAAAGGAAATGTAACCCTCTTAGAAATTAATTGATAGCTTTCCTATTGATACAAGTATCGGTCCTTTAAGGAAGCAGGAGCTTCCATCTTCAACATCATCCACAACAACCTTTGGTTACTTTAGAGAGAGGAGAGGATTGGACAGTATATGTAAAAGTATGTTGTTGTTGTTGTTGTTGCTGCTGCTGCTGCTGTTGTTGTTGTTATATTGCCTTTTATCCAAAGATCCCAAGGCAGTTTGCAACAGAAAAATAGGGAATGAGAATACAAAATAAAACAAAAACAAACCAATAACCCTCTTCCCACAAACACATTTGAAAAGCCATAGACCTGGTTATAGAGAAACATTTTTGTCTGGTGCCTAAAGATGTGTAAGAAAGGTGCTAGACCAGCCTCCCTGAGGGGAGTATTTCACAAATGGGGAGCCACTGCAGAAAAGGCCCATTCTTATGTTGCCAGCCGCCAGAGACACATGAAGAAGGTTCTCAGGTGATGAGTGTAAGATCGGGGTTGGTTCATATAAAAAATAAAAGTAGATTCCAGGTTACAGCATGGTATTAAAGGCAAAT